CTCACAAAGGCACCCCGCTTTAGACCCCTTTAGCCCCTTTAAAACCAATTTATACCCCCTCCCCCCCCCTTGACGGCCAACTCGCAAAAATCGAAATGAGCCCGGATTTGGGGTCCTCTCAGTCGTTTTATAGCAGACCAGGGGACGACACTCTATCCCTCAGGCTCAAACTCCCAACTCATTCATTGGGCATCATTTTACAGGAGCCGTTTGGGGTTTTGTTTGATCAGCGTCACTGTTATATGAGACCTCACTATTCATTCTGGGGTTCATGTGACTCAGTTTGTAATAATTTTCTAGTTTTGTTTGTGGTCCCTACTGGTTGACTGCAGTGGTATTTGTTCGCTGATCACATGGCATTTGTGGTCTTGGGATTGTCTGCAGACTAAAAGGTCTGGCATTTATTGGCACTCAGTAGGTGGTGAGGAGGCAGGGTAATCGCTTTCCCTGTCTCTTTCTTTTTTGGGTTCCTTGTGAGCTCCGCGTTCACCCACCTATGTAGTCCACCCTCCATGCTCATTTTGCTCCACATTGTGGATCTCCCTCCCTTATTCCATCTCAGAATCCTCCTTGATGCCTCTCCTTGCCCCCCAACGTTTGTCTATGTCAGAAACCCCTCTTGCTTAGTCTGTCTTTGCAATATGGAGGTGAGGTGGGAAGGAGGACAAAGAGGAGGGGGCGACGGAGGAATGAGATTGGTGTGGCAATCATGTTCTTCGGCGCAACATGATTGGGTGTCACAGACTGGGTTGATGGCCGCAATTTTCGCATCCACTGCAGGGTTGTCAGACCACCTATGGCCGACGCTGGCCGTAGGTCATCGGCTCGGCTACCAGTCGGGGTGACCCATAGGCACTCTGTCGGGGTGACCCATAGGCAGTCTGCCGACCCGGCCTGGACTATTTCCCTATCCACAACTCCACTCGGTTCCTCCTCCAGGCATGAATATTTAGGACCGACTCGTGCTCTCTCTCAAGGGGTCTCTACGGCCTGCCCCCTTGGAGACACAAATACTAAGAAGATACCCTTCTCACGGTTCTGCTGGTCAGCATCTGCAGGAATTTTCCATCTGATGATGTAAATACTTATTCAGATAAGACTGTCTTCCCATCTGGCCGTTCTTAAAGAACTACAGTACTAAGGCTAGTCCCTTTATGGATTTCACTCGACCTGACACCTTGGGAATAGAATAAGGTGTGTGAGAAATCTTGGATGGTCGAGGGGTTGGTTTCTTCGGTAAGGATGGAGTAGAAAGAAAGACGACGTGTACCAATGATGAGCCTGTCTCTCAGGAGTCTATTCCGAGTAGAGTCTCATGACTGGACAGGTCACTTTGGGTTTGAAAAGACTTACAGCAATCTTTTGCAGCTTTTTTGGTGGCCTAGTATGAAGAGGGATGCACATGCTTTTGTTGAGAGTTGCCAGGTTTGTCAAAGTAGTAACCTCGAGAATGGCCTGATATTAGGGACCGTTTGTAGAGAACTTCAGTACCGTAGTCCTTGACTGATGTCACTCAACTGGACACCCCTTGGGAATGGTGTAAGGTGTGAGGAATATAGGATGTTTGACCGGTTGCTGAGAAATGTAAAAATCCCGTGTGTGCCCGATAACGTGTAGCTTAGGAGTCTATTCCTAGGAGTGTGTCGCGGTGCTACTGGTACTTCGGGTTTAAGAAGGACTTGGCGCTAATCTGTTGTGGTGTTTCTGTTGGGCTCGTATGAAGGTGCTTACATTGAGATTTGCCAGGTTTGTCAAAAAAAAAAAAGATTACTGAAGCCCCTCCCTATTCCTGAAGGACTTGGCCAGTCTTTGCCTCTAAAGGAAACAAGCAGATTCTTGTTTGTAATAGCTGACAGATTTTCAAGATTCGCATTTGACAGGTTTTCCGCTTTTGCAAGTATCTCTCGTACGTCTACCAGCTACAGCAAAGATAGAGTTAGTCATCACTCAATTTGCCGGTCACTGGATTAAAGATTTTGGATTACCTAAAGGCTGAAAATAGAATCTTTTTGGATTACCTTTGGGATGTGCGGTTTGCAAGTGAACTGTGGCTGAAAGCTGCGATCGAAACTGAAGACGACTTCAGGGAATCACCTTGAAGTTAAACCACCAGTACATTGCCCCAGCCAACTGGAGAACCTGTTTTGAAATTGAGGAGGCCGAGCGCCGTAGATAAAATGAGTCGGCGGTGTGCGGCCTCCGAAAGGGGTCCACAGCCAGTAGCTGGCATGCACTGGTGCTTAAACAGCCAAGCTGAACAGAAGGGCAAACAAGTTCAGCAGACGCTTTGGCATTACATAACCCCCGGTCAATTTCACAGGGGTATCAAACTGCGTTAAATAGTTGGGATGTATAATCATGGCATGCATTCAGCAACAGGCCACTCAGCCAACAAGGTGCGTGTAGGCGGGGAAGCCCAGGACTCTATCGAATTTTTTGTTGCGAGATCCTAAATGGCAATCAGCTCCTGGAAGTGTCCAATACGACCTTGAGTATGGACAAATGTTGCAGAACAGAGTAGAACAGCTACAGAAATCTCAAAGGGCTATGGTAGAGTCAGAAAATCAGCATAGACGAATGCCTCCACTTCTTACCAGGTGGGTGATTTGGCATGGGTCAAGTCATTTGAGTTCCAATCTAGAAGAGGTCATATCGCAAAGATCAATGCCTCGATATTACAGACCTGGACTGTCCTTGATATTGTTGGAGATGATCGTGACGACCCATCCTTGTTGTTGATGTCCCTCCTCACGTTGACACTTACCCAATTTTTCATGCATTCCAACTCTTGTCGTTTTCTACAAGCGGTCAAAGCATCTGCTGCACTTGTACGTCCATCCGTTCAGCTTGGCTGTTAACTTCAAGGTGATTCCCTGGAGTCATCTTCAGTTTCGATCATAGCTCTTAGCCACAGTTCACTTGTAGGAGGGTATCAACTACTATCAAGTGATGTGTGTGGAATGTGTGTGCATGCTGCACCCGTGCGGGGCCGGGGTGGATATCACTATTTGTATGGTTCCACTTTCGAACACCGCGTCATAGATGTAGTGGTTGAGGCATCCGGCTGTTGAGCCAGAGCCGAGAGGTACCTGGAGGAGGTATAATTCCACGGAATGTGGGGTGGATGTTTGAGGTCATCGGCTCGATCCCCTGCTGGGTTGACTAGAAATGGTCAAATTCTGTGATCCTTTTGAATATGAAGGGGCTATCTTTTAATTCAGCCATCTATTTATTGATGTGGACTGTACTGCATGCCTGCTTCAGGTTTGGGTTGAGGATTGAGTTTGGTGTTTATGATACGAAGGGGGGAGTGGGGGGGATCAAACCACGCAGGGTGACAGGAGGTCCCCTTTTTTCCAAAATGTGAAAGTAGTGATGAATACGCCCAGATTTTCCCCTATCGGAATGCCAGAAACCATTATCATGCAGGGCCTTGTTAGGCATGGCAGGTCGGGGCCGAATGTGGTGCTGGTCTAACTCGTAGGAGCCTTGTACGTGAGAGGCACGGTAAAAAGGGAGCTGCAAGAACAGAGAGAAAGGGTACCCCAAAGAAAAAGGGAGCTGTAAGAACAGATAGAAGGGGTACCCCAAAGAAAGCCAAAGTAAAGATAGTAACGGATCTACTCTGCTCCTCTCTCTCCCCTCCTCTCTCTCTCTCTCTCTCTCTCTCTCTCTCTCTCTCTCTCTCTCTCTCTCTCTCTCTCTCTCT